AGTGAGATACTTGCACCTCAGCCCAAATTGTTTCTTATCAAATTTTATTATTTTGTACTTTATTCTCAATTTATGCAATTACACAAATAACTTTGATATAAATCTGATTGGTTGGATATAAATTAATATTTTTATCGATAATTTAAATTCATATATGCTATATTCAATTTCATTGTTTGAATTTTAATATACTAATATTTGATTTGATTATAGTTCAATCCGAATTATTAAAAAATATATATATAAATGATTAAATTGAGTGATTATAGTAGACTGAAAAAACAGAGGGAACCGAATTTACTACTAAAATGTACGTCGACCATTGGATTGACAATTTTGAAACCCACTTTTAATCGTGCGACATTAGTAGGTTTAAACAACAATTTGGATTGATAAATCTATGCTAAGTAGCATTACTCTTATTTAAAACATATTATGTTCCCGGTAGAGTTGTTACATAATGTCTATCACAAAAACTGAACAGACCCATTGGTTAGTAAATATGTTAATGCAATTCAATGATATATGGAAGAATTGATGGGTTAGCTGTCCTAAATTCGTCCTTGAGTTTCATTATAAAAAAGGAAACAAATTAAGCCTAGACATTTGGCATTTTAAAGACATCAAGCAATTTTATTCCATATGGAACATAACATGATTGAAGAAGAAATCATCTTTATTGTACCTTCCATTCTCTTTTTTGGCCCATGGAATGATTATGCCTATTTCTTTCCAGCTTTGAAACAAAGGGTAAAAAATAGATAAATTATACATTACATCCCTAATCGAACAATACATAAGTGGCACTTGTTTAGAGGGAATTAAGTTGTATCATGTCTTGTTTGGGCAGTGTTACATCAGATTTATATCAAAAATTAGTCAATCCTAATATTTGAATTTGTTGGAGTATATATGGCTAAATCTCTCGATATTAATTAATGATTAAATGATTAGGTTGAATCTTTTATAGTCAGCATGGCTAGAGAGACCCATCAAATAGTAAAATACTAGGTCAATGTAATTAATCCTACTTGGAGTGTTTTGACCTATTTTGACTGTAGGGAGTTAAGGAAATATTGATAGACATGTAGACTAATTAGGTGAGTAAGAACGGTTATTTGATACATCCTCCAATATAAATAAGACTCTCTAGATACAGAGAGAACCACCATTGAGAAACACTTAGTTGTGAGAAAACTCATTAGAAGTGAAATCTCAACTCTACTACATCCATATAAAAGAGAGTTTTTAACTCTCAAAGGCTAGCTCCCCATTCATCAAAATTATAAAATCCTTATTCTGCAAATTCCTATAGAATTAACTGTGTCAAATAATTGGATACTAATTTTTTGATGAATGGAGCTATTTCCACCCCCACAAATATCCATTCCTACCCTTATAAAATTTTTATTTTCAATCAACTAAAATAAAATGTGGGATGCCATTAGAGTGGGAATAGCCCCGCCCTTTTCATCTAAACACAATATCATTAGTAATAAAAAAAAAAAGGTAGGGTTATTCCCATCCTATAAATATCCATTCTCATTCCATTAATAATTTGATTTTATAGGGTGGGAATAGCCCCACACTTTTATGATTACTAATGATATTGTGTTTAGATGAAAATATACTTATTTCTGAACTTAAAAATCCAACACTAGGGTCCAATTATCTATCAACCAAATCCCTCATCTATAGGGCCCCCATAATAAAAAGTGCACTTGGTTTGAAAAGATTACCTTGTAGCATTCCACGGCCCTTGTGAGAGAACTTTGTCCCTGTCCTCTGGAGCAGTCAATTTGAACAGAAAGGTGTTTACTTTCAGGTCCTTGATGGTGAGCTCCTTTACAAAGCTCTATGAATCGACAATAGTGCTCTTGCAACCTGTCTATTCAGGGCTTTTCTCTCTCTACTCGCTCTTTCATTGTTAGATTTAAATTAATATTTGAATAAAAAGTTTAATTCGATATAAATAAATCCAATGGACAAACTTAAATTTAAATAAAGACAAACTCAATTTTAAATAGGAGTAAGAACATCTCCAATAGATGCTTTAAATGCCCAAAATAGTCAAATTTTAGCTAACCAAAGTCAAAAACAATACTCCAACAGATTATGTTCATATGTTGTAAAATAGATTTTTACTACAGTGATATTCTAAATATAAAGTATCACTGTAGTTATACGTAAACATAATATATATTATTTTCTCTCTATTCCTCTCATTTATTTTATTCTCTTTCTTTCTCCCTTTCACTATTCCCAAAAAATATAATACAAAAGGGATGATAAATACTATTTAAAAATAGTAGTTAAAAATATAAAAAATCTGTTTGAGTGTGTATTGAAAAAATGAGTAGTTAAAATAGAAAAAATTATTTTTTGGATAGCTAAAATAGCTACTATTGTTGGAGATGCTCTAAGAATGACCATTGGATCTTTAAAAGATAGTGAAATCTCACAATTAAATATTTGAGTCTCTATTGATTTGAGTAAAAAAATAAATTTCTCTTAATTTGATATAAATTTGAATCAAGGGTTAAAACAAATTTTTAGACTTTTTTACTCAAATTTAAATTTGAGTAAGAGTTGAAAATGCCCTTAGCGTGACCTTACTTCTAGCCTTCTTTGTCTTTAAAGCCTTGTATTTCTCCAAACGTTCGTATAATTGCTTGTGAGGAAGTGAAAAACAAAGTACAATTTTTTTTTTCATACAATTCCGTTCAAATGACTTTGTTATGTTAAAATTGAGTTACTCGTAGCACTAAAAGATTGTGTCATAATTCAAATTTGTTTCAATTTACTATTAATTTTAATCTACTATCAATGTTCGTTATTATATCTGTTAGTAAATTATACTCAGACCTTTTAAAGTTTGTAAATGTACAATATTTAGATCCATCAAGTGTAAAATGTCATATTTAGACAAAAAATACTTCAATTATAGACATAATATCAAATATTTGAAATTTTATAATCAAAATTCATGTTATATTATGACATCTATTGAAATAAAATTAAAAATAAAAATATATTTTTTTCTTAAAAAATCATAATTATTATAAAATTATACTTTAGTCGTTCAAATGACCAAATTATCTCAATTAAAGTTAAAAGATAATGTGTCAATCACAATTTGACCCCTTATTTAATTTTTTAGTTTTATTCCAATACATAATATAATTATATATTGATTAAAATTTTTTAAATAGATTTTTATTTTTAATTTTATTTCAATAAATGACGTAATGGTACATGAATTTTTGGTTCAATAAATGACATAATAAGACATGAATGACTTAGGCCCCTTTGTTTGATTTTTTCGTTTTATTCTAATAGGTAGTACAATTATATACTAATTACGATTTTAAAAAAAAATTAAAATTTTATTTTTTGATTTTTATTTCAATAAATGATATAATAGAACATGAATTTTAATTGTAAAATTTAAAATATTTGATATTTTATTTTTAATTGAAGTATTTTTTGTCTAAATATAACATTTTAAATTTGAGAAATTCAAGTATTATATGCCTACTCCAGAAGGTATAGGTGTAATTTACTAACGGATATAATAACTGACATTGACAACAATGACGTAAGTGTTACGTGTATAAATTTTAAAGAGTTTGTGTGTAATATTTTAAATGTTTAGAGATTTAAGTGATTGAGTGACAAATTTCATGTGGTCTGAATATAATTCTCTCAAAATAATATTATTATGCTTCTCGAATCATTTACCAAATTTTGTATATTAAATCATTTGAGTGATTAGATCAGTGAGATCCACTAACTTCCAATAAACAATCAATGTATAAGATTTTATCACATCATTTTGTAAAGAGCAATGCTATTATGACTTAATTTATTAACCTAATTTGCTGACTTAATTTATTAACCTAATTTTCTGACTTAATTCACTATGATTTTTGGATTGAACTTGGGTCTCATTAAACATTAGAACTTGATGTTGATTCAATGATTCTACTAAAATCACATCATTAATGCTCCGTTTGATAAGGAGGATAAAAAGCAGGAGCGATACACAAACTATCCTTCAATGATGAAAAATATGAATGATATGCTTTTCTTCCTTTGTATTTGGTTGGATTGATGAAAAATAAAAATAACTATTTTTTTTTTGTTTTTGTGATGGCTAAGATTAGGGATGACAATAGAGTCAAGTCGTGTCGTGTCAGATTCGTGTTGCGTCATTACAAATCTGTGTCAAATATTAGTCAAATTTAACTTAATTCATTTAACTAATTGTGTCGTGTTGAGTTGTGAATTCGCCTATTTATTTTCATATCGAGTTTGAGTCGTGTCATCGTGTTGAGTCGAAAATTTTCACCTTAGTTAAGATGGAAAAAATATATATTTTTTAATTTAAATTTTTAATTTTTTTAATTTTTATTTTTAAAAAAATATATATATATATACCATTGTATTTTTATATGAAATTAATGTATACATAAGATATATAGACAAATAAGATGCATTTTAACACAAATAATTAACTTTTCATCCACTTTCTTTCCGATTTTGGAGGGATTGATTTTGGTAAGTTGAAAAGAAAGTTAATTCATTCACTTTTTCATCCTTCCTACTTTCTTTCCTTACCAAACATGATGTTTTATTTATCCCTCCAACTTTTCATCCTTCCAACTTTCTATCCTCCCACTTTTTTATCGTACCAAATGGAGCATAAGTCAATAAATCAGGTCAAATTTTTAAATCAAAATAGTATTACTCTTTTGTAAATAATATTTGATAATCAAATTTAGAAAATACAATTTTATTTCTGTGAGAGTCTTTACCCATTAAAAATGGGCATCTTTACATCCAAACACGTCACACCAACCACAATGTAAGCATTTGACAAAATGCCAACATGAAAGCGTAGAAAACAACGCAATTTTCTTTGTAAGCCCACGCGTTAGTTACAAAGCACACGGTTAACACATTCAAAACCATCTCAAAGTCCAAAAGAAAACCACCGTCACCACCTCCTCCTCCTCCTCCTCCAGCAGCACCACCACCACTTCTTCCCTCAAAAGATGGAAAATGCTTCAAACAAAGGTTCATTCATAAACAACCCCACAGAAAAACCACCAGGCAGGGCTCCAACAACCTTTGTCTTGAGTCCCATGACACTAAGCTCGAGTCACAATGGTAGCAACCTTTACGACTCCTACGAGCTCCAAGCTGTCACAAAACAGCTAAACCGTGCTATGCAGGGCACAAATGGCTCTTTGTCACCTTACTCCTTCTACTTGAAGTCCCCTTTCTACCGGCATCGCCTGGATCGTATTTACAGAGATAACACAAAGACACACAAGAGAATTTCGTGCTCGGGTTTGGACAATCGAGCGCTTGATTCAAAGGCGTACGCGCGGGGTATGAAGGGATTTGGAGTGTGGCTCTGGAAGAAGGTCAAACGTGGGTTTGCAAGAAACAAGGCATAGAGGATGGTCTAAAGTTTTGCTTGATATCAACAAACAGATTGATCATGCTATAGGCTGTATCTCAATAAAGATATACATGTAAATACTATGCAATTTACCAAGAGAAAGTACTTGTGTTCTTCATGGTCCTGGCAATCCAAAGGAAATTTCAATAAACCCCTATGTATGTAACATACACTAGAAGTTGAGTCAAATATATGAGTTCGATGCTATCATCGATATATTGTTCATTTTGGATTGGACAAATCGAGTTCAAAAAACCGTCTTGATGAGTAAATCAAGACTTCACATAAATAGTCCAACACCCTTTTCTCCCTCTTGGTTGGTGATGTTCAACCTTCCGAAAAACAAGTATATAAACCAGACACTTTAGCTTGTTTGGTTTGTATTTCAAAAAATAGTATCTCAAAATTATTATTGGGGAGAATTTTAAAAAAATGGTTTGGAGTTTTTTGTATCGCAGAACTTGTTTAGTTATATGATTTCAAAAATAATTTTTCGGAATAAAAAATAAGAAAATTTGCTTGGACAATAACTCAAAAAACAATGTAAACATAAATATGGTGAAAGCGGAGGTAGTGACGTGGTGGACATGGTAATGAGTGTATGGTGGTGGTGGGTGGTAGTGTTAGTGTGGTGGTGGTGATATGGTGGTAGGGGTGTTTTTTAAATACTAAAAAATATTGCTTTAAAAAATACACAAAACATTTTTAACTTATTTTCTAAATTTATCTGATTTTTATTCCCAATGTTTCAAAAAAAAAAATATATTGGTTAAATAACTTTTTTTTCCGATATTATTTTTAATGCAAACTAAACAAGGCTTGAGTTTTACCTCATCTCATGCGTCTTGACCCTTAAAGTATGTGTGAAACCTACGTTCCCATAGTTAGAAGAAACCAACTTTGACTCCAACCGTCAACGCATTGGTGCTTGAGCCTTGAAGGTACCCACATGACTTTAAAACTATGCAATGCCACCTTATAAGACTTCGACCGGCCATCAAGATGTTATTTATCCAATTTAGACTCGGCCAAAAAAAATTGAAAACACATCTTGGTGTTTAAGGAAAAACTATTCGATACAACATTGTAAGACGTCGACCACACCAAAATATTTTCCCCTCTTGACTAAATCCACAGAATTATCAACGAACTGTTAATCCAATAGATAATAACTCAAATTTTTTCGTTTAATGTTTAGGTTTGAGTTTTCGTAGTTCCGACAGTTCGTTGGAACTAAATTTAGTTTTCAACGCATAAAACATACGGTGGAACCTTAACTTTGATCTCGACGTAAGTGAGATAAAGTCTCTTATAAATAGTTGTGTAGTAATAAAAGACAACTATAGTAACTTACCTATATATTTGTTTAGGCGGCGTTTAATCAACTCAACCCAGCGAAGGAAGCTCCAGAGAAAAAACACTGATTTGTCAGATTTTCTACTCTTTCCATCTCCATCTCCATCTCCATCTCCATCGATCTCTTTCTCTCTCTGACCCCTCTGTGAAATCATTTTTTTTAAGTTTGGATTTGTTATATACATGGGTGGGTTGGGTAGTGTTGGTGGTGGCTAAACAGGGGTGGTGCTAATGGCTTTGCAGTGATTTTGGTGGTTTGTTTTCAGAAGTTTTGGTAGTGGGTTTTCAAGGGTGTTGGTGGTTGGTAAATAGGTGGTGTGGGTGGTGGGTTTTCGGTGATTTTTGTGATGTGTTTTTAGGGGTTTAGTAGTGAGTTTCCAGGGGTATTGGTGGTGGGTAAATAGGTGGATTAGGTAGCGTTGGGGGTGGGTAAATAGGTGGGTTTGGTGGTGGCTAAACAGAGGTGGTGATGGTGGGTTTTCGATGATATTGGTGGTGGGTTACGTGGTGGCTAAACAGAAGTGGTGGTGGTGAATTTTCAGTGATTTTGGTGGTGGGTAAATAGGTGGGTTAGGTGGTGTTAGTAGTGGCTAAACAGGGGTGGTGGAGTTCGATTTTTTGTGGTATTGATGGGGGCAATGGTGGCTGGGTGGGGTGGCGTGGGTGTAGATGTAGTTGACATTAAAAAATTAATCAAAATAATCACAATAAATTATGAATATATTATTATAATACCAAACGTATATTTTTTTTTATAATTTTTTAAATATAAATAATTACCAAACATATTTAATATTTTTAATCTTTATCACATAAAAAACAAAAACTTATTTTGATTTTTTTTTCAAAAAAAACATACAAACAAAAAAGTCATCAAACGCACCATTAATACATAAGAAAAAGAGTCCCCAGAATTTAGGAGGTTATTTTCAAACCCAGATTCTTTCGGAACTTAATTTTATAACCTAAACATTTTTAAACTTAATTTTCAAACTCAGTCTCTTTTTAAAAATGTCATTTCATTTGAAATGACGACTTCCCTCTTAAAAACGTCATTTAAAATAAAAATTTAAAAATAAAAATTTTATATTTTTTAAAGTCATCATTTATAATAACATTTTTTAACATAAATTTTAGGCGCTAACTAACGGACGTTAAAAAATATAAAGGGATAAAAATCGTCGCCTTAAATGACGTTTTTTAAAAACCCTATTTTGAAGGACGATTTGAACGAAAGTCAAACCACTTAAACTTTACAGATCACGGGCTAGGTTAAAAATTTCATCCACTCAGCTCTACTCGTCCTCCTCCGACCCTTAGCTCTCCTCCTCCTCAGCCACTCTCCGACGAGGAAGACCATCGGAGAACCATCCACCAGCGAGCACATCCTCCACCAGTGTGCACAGCCTCCACCACCGACTGAGCAGTGAGCACATTCCCCATTCTCCATTCTCCATTTTTTCCCTAAATATTTTTTGCCCTAAATCGATTTTTTGCTCAAAGGGTTTGCTCTGTGGCCTGATCTATTATGGGTGATATATTGCAACCTCATATGTTAGGTTTCTAGGTCTTGTGTGATTAGTTTGGGATGATCAGAAGTTTGGGGTGCAGTTCATTTATTAAATGGCCTTATGAGTTCCGGCGATGCTCATGGATCTGTGTTCATGGTTGTTTTCTGAACAGATATCAAGAAGGTGAATCTACGATTTGTATGTAATACGTAATAGATCAGTGGTCTTTATAGGTAGTTTTGTTGAGTTTTGGTGGTTCGTGTGTGTTTTCTATTGCTAGATGGTGATTTTTTTAGTAGGTAATTTTTATGGTTGTGAGCTTTGGTGATTGTGTTTTTTGCAGTTGGTTGACCCTGTAGATAAGACAGTAGACAGAGATCTTGCTCTTGTTAAAGATCTGGGCTTGAAGCTTATATATGCGATAAACACCCACGTACATGCAGACCATGTAACTGGGACTGGCCTAATTAAGGTTGGTCTTAGCTTCCTTTGGGGCATTTAAACTTTAGGTTATACGTTTTCAGTATTTCATCTCACTATCATCTTCAGGGTTAGATCAAAAGAATTTGTCACTGATTGTTTCTCATGTTACCTTGCTTGACTGGTTCATGCAGACTAAAGTTCCTGGTGTGAAATCTATCATTTCTAAAGCAAGTGACGCAAAAGCTGATCTTGTGGTTGAACCTGGTGATAAAATCTGCTTTGGTGATCTTTTTCTGGAGGTACACTAGTATTTTTTGTTTTAAAATGGTTTCTACATGAAGTGGCTTGTTAAACTCTGATGCTTTACAAAGACTGCCAATATTAGTCGGGTATGAAGAAATTCTGGACCAACATTAGGGGCAACCACAGAAGATAATAGATATGAGAATCAGAGAATTTGATACTGCACTTTTGTCCAAAGGATGTTGGGCCTGAGATAAATATATTTAGTCATCATAACTTTATAAGGTTCACCATCACTCTCAAATCAAAGTAGTGTATATCTTGGATTCTGACCAGGTTGGTCAGAGTCTAGTTTTCAGAATCAACGGGCTCTATTAACCTCTTTGGATCGGCCATCTCTGAGCTTTATTAGTTGTTCAAAATGCCTCTCCATCCAATTATTTAGTTGATTATGATATCGTTTAGGGTAAATTATGCTTAGAACACCTAAACTATGGTCTAATATCACTTTGCTCCCTGTTCATCACTTACATTGAACTGTGTCCAACTCCAATCCAAATTACCTTCCAAAACTAATGGTGTTTTCCTTGCAGGTTTGTGCTACCCCTGGTCATACATTAGGTTGTGTTACTTATGTTACAGGAGATGGACCAAGTCAGCCTCAGCCAAGGATGGCTTTCACGGGTGATGCTCTATTAATACGTGGATGTGGGAGGACAAGACTTCCAGGTATAGCCGCATAATTGAAAAGAACTTGTGTTTTTTTTATTTTTCGTAGAATGTGCAATCATCTGGAAATCTGGTTAATCTTACTAGATACTTTTAGCTTTTGCTTTTATCAGCTAAGTTTAATTTCAGTAACTTGATTGCAGGGTGGAAGTTCACAGCAACTATTTAAGTCGGTGCATTCACAGGCAAGGACACGAAAATAGTGCAATTCAATAATATAGATATGACATAGAACTTATAAAATATGTCCTATTTTTTCTTTCCTTTGACTGTCCCTCATTCATTGTAATATTATGTGGCCAGATCTTTACCTTACCCAAGGACACATTGGTGCATCCTGCTCATGACTACAAAGGTTTCACTGTAAGGATGTTTCTAATGGTTCTTGATTCTATAATATGTACATAAAAATTGGCTGCTTATACAGCCTCTTTGATCTTCAGGTTAGTACTGTGGGAGAGGAGATGCTTTTTAATGCTCGCTTGACAAAAGATGAGGTGATTATCTAGCTTGTACTTGCTTATTTTGATTGTGGTAACTAATCAATCTTGGCCTCTTGTTTCATAATAACAAAACAATTGCCTGATTCTAGCTCCATTCATTTTGGGATATGAGGTCTTAGAAAAGGTCTGAGAGACTTGCATTACCATCATGTTCTTTATTTCATTGTATCTTAAGACAGATAGTCTTTTAATTGAATTCGTTTTCTCTGTTGTCCGCATATATTTTCAACTGCATATGTGGTTTGCCGAAGCGATGCTTCAATAAACAAACTAGACAAGGAAGTTTGGATTAGGCAACTAATTTACCTTGGAATTCTTATGTGACGGTCTCCTGTTTCATTGGATGTACTATGTTGTATGCAAAGAGTGTTGCGAAACTAACGAGAATCTAGGGATGCAACTTTGGGATACCACATAAAAGCATCGATTCAGAAAATGGGGACACCGGTGCAGTTGGACAGAAAATCATCTCTTTTCCTGCCAAAAATTATTTTATTATATATCTTTATGTTGACTGATTGGGTTCTGCTTTCTTGTTACTAATTTATTGCCAGTATGGAACAAACGTGCTGTTGCAGGAGGCATTCAAGAACATCATGGCAAGTAAGTAATCAGTAATCAAGAAACTGTCCAAAGCAATGTTGCATATTTAATTCTTCACAAGCAAATTTTTTTTTTTTTGGTCCTGCAAAATTGTTAACAGTGCACAATTATTACAACAGATTTGAACTTGTCATATCCAAAGATGATGGACGTTGCAGTCCCCGCTAACATGGTTTGTGGGTTGCAAGAAGTGGAGTCGAAACCCTGCTAATGCTATGGCAGGTCAAGCTATGCATTGTAGTTGTCGTTGTTCTCTTTAATAAAGGTGTGACTGATGAAACTGACTTTTGGTTTGACAAAATTTTCTAATAATGGTCCTATAGAAAAGGCTTTCCGGTTGATCCATTTGTAAAATTATCCGTTCCTTACACGGGCGTGGTTGTATTTCTACTTACTGTGTAGATGTAATAACAGGTATCTAATAGTTTACAGTTCAATGCGAGAAAATGGAATTTCTCCCGTTGACAACAGAAAGACCACATCTTCTAGCTTTTGCATTATACCCTTTTGTGAAAAAATGGAATTCAATCTAATAGTTTAAGGTGCAATGTGAGAACATAGATAGTTTAGGAGTCAATGTGAATTAAAAGGCATACTTTAGGGTGGCAGTGCAATTTGCCCTTTCATTTGATTCATAATTGGATGATGCAAATTGAAACATAATGTGAAAGTCGTGACACATTTATAATAATAAAATAGAGCGTATTGCTTGAGTTGGTTATGCTCTTCACTTAGAAAAATATATCAATGGTCTAAATGGTTTAGATTCTATGATTTATATTACAATTTAATATTTTAACATTTTAATCATGTAACTTATTTATAGTTTAATCATTTAATCTTTTAATTATGATAATTTATTTAAATTTTAACTTTTTAACCTTCTAAGTACAATAATTCATTTAAATTTTATTTTTAACCAAAGTAACTCAACACATAAAAAAAAAAAAAAAAGTGCTTTACACGGGGCGCACATAAAAAAGATTTTTTTGGTGCGGTTTTGCTGCTGTAAGAGGTTGGGATTTTCTTGAAGCTTTCTATGCTTTGTTGCCTTTTAGAGTTGTTGAGGAGTTTTTTATTTGGTCTTTTGTTTTGTTTTGTTTTGTTTTTTGTTTAGGAAAAGGTGTCTTGTGCCTTTTCCTCGGTTTTGTTTCTTGTAATGTTTTTGCATTTGTGAATAAATAAAATTTTTTGTTTAAAAAAAAAAAAGAGCAAGTTGGTAGTGTATACAGTGTGTTGATGTTAACTATCCAATGGACTTACTAGATGTCAAGCAAAATCTCTCCTTAATTGTGGTTAGCTTGTGCTGGTGCTCCGGTCCACCAAAAAAGAATGCGGGAAAGTTTTTAAATTGTCATCGTAAATGACGTTTTTTACTCTTTTTTTTTTAACATCCGTTAGCTGCTGTTTAAAATTTATATTAAAAAACGTCACTATAATTGACGACTTTAAAAACGTTGACGTTTTTAGGAGAGAAGACGTCATTTCAAATAACGTTTTTAAAAAAAGATTAGATTTGAAAATTAAATTTAAAAATGAATGGGTTATGGAATTAAGTTTTTAGGGAGGCTGAGTTTGGGGAAAACCTCCAAAATTTAGATAACACTTCTTGATGGCTAACACAAAACTATCTTGCAAATGAACAATGTTATTGAGACATAATTTGAGAAGATAATGAGTTAACACCAATGATATGATAATGAATTCATTTAATACTACAATGAGACTCATCATTAAATACATTTCACTATCATTTTATTAATAATAACTCATTATGTCTCCAAATTATATCTTTAAATTATGTCTTAATAACATTAGTAGTTGCGAATAGCCCAACCACCTTTTTTCACGGCCGATGTTGGACAAGTACATGACCTAAACTAACCTAACCCAACCCCATCTCAACTCACCTCACCTGATTTGCTCTCGGCCTCATATCTTAACATGCATCTCTCAGCTACCGAGTAGAAGATGGTTCTCAATGTGTTTCATGATGCCATAATAACCATTCTGGGACTGTTAATCCAAGCATAAACATGAACCCCACCAGATTCACGACAGTCTTCAGAAGGAGCATACCCACACAAAGCAAACATAATGGGGATTAGAAGTTCAGATCCACACCAAGAGGACCTCCACATGTCAAACGGAGCCGCCACAAAATTCCCTCTTTATATTAATATTAATATTAAGGTTACTATACAAACATGCTTCAGCAAGCAGCATTGATTTTAATTTCAACCCATATTAATGTAATGCAAAGATGGTAGTGCAGATATAAACACTTTTCACAAAGAACAGCAGCAGCTGAAATGCTCGACTGCTGACAAGTATTGGTGTGCATAGGGAAATCCGTCAAGATAGCTTCAGCGCCATTTCTTGAAGAAGAGCACGCTTTTGTGACGCGTTAATCACATGATTGGTTTCAGCATTTTCCAGCACATCAGTTATTATGGAAGCTGCATGACCAAGAGGTTCCTCTGTTGCCCTCTTCAGCATGAAGGCCTGTCGAACCAATACGAAAAAATTGGATGGTGCACATTCAGGAGTTGCTTAAGTAGTTATCTGAAAACGAAGAAACTTAGCGTTCGGAGCCCGACATGAAAACCACAATTTGGTTCCCTAGAAATTCACTGATAGTGATATGATTCCACCTCAAATTGCAAAATACTACCTAGTTAGTAGTTTCAAGTGAATTTCGAAAAACTTAAAAATATGCTTGCTCACCACCCCTACATGGTTATGAATCTCAGACAATGAATAGGGGCAACACTGTCGCATATGCATGTATCATATCTAGAGGGAGGGAAGGAGGGAGGGAGAGAGAGACAGAGACCTGCCCATGATGTGAAATGGCCAATGTACATGGTTGCTGAAACCAAGGCTCCCCATCTATTTGAACAGGCAAGGCAGCTAAAAGCTGTATCTTAATTAACTGCCCTTGTGCAAGCCTTCGAGCCCGAGAAAGACCCACCTGTACCCACACATAAAGCAGAAGCTCACAGACGTTCCCATAACATCTAAATTGAGAACAATCCTGAAAACTTGGTCTGGAATAAAAGTCCTCTCTAGCCCATCAAAAACTACTTTGTTTGTCGGAAAAGATGCAAGGACTTTGGGAACCAAAAGCTCAATCAATTTAAAACAACTTTGGTTGAAGTTATTTTTCTATAATTAGAGTATATGTTAAGATACAGAGCGACATCTCTCAGCTACATTTATTTCTATTTGCACGGTGAACAAGTGATGGAGCTAAATATTAATTGTCTTTGAAAGGATTAAGTAATAGATTCCAGTTCCATGGAAAAGACCTTTCACTCAAGCAACAAGGTTAAAAACACACAAATCAGATGGCATAGAAACGGTATCTCAAAATACCACCTTACCTGAAGCTTTCCAAGATGCCATGTCCCCGATATGCTCACAACCTCCAGTATCTTATCATGCATAGATTGAGGATCAAAATTCTCATATGTTTCATCCTCATTTTGCCACAAGTCAACACCGCCCATATAGCTTCCAATATTTGCAACAAGAACCCCTTCTGCGTCCTGCAAAAAATAAAGTACAAAATTATAACCTGGGCATCATGATTGATGGCTATTACCCGCAGCTCAAATTTAAGTACATTTAGGATTGGGAACAATTTAGTTCCAAAAAATATATTTGAACAGATAAAAATGAATGGAACCCAGACAGCAATAAAATACAGCAACAGTTGCAGAAAACAAGAATGAATTTGACTAGGGAAACACAACATTAGATGAAAAAAGATTTAAAAAGGTGAAAGATAATTTTGGAGAGCATTTGCTAAAAATGAATAATTTTTTCCCACATAGTTGTCCTAAATAAAGAAATAGTAGCCTTTATCGAACATTAGAAAGAATTTTTTGCACCCACCTCAGGAACCTCTATCTCAACACCATCCACCTCCACTCGAACTTGCCAAGGGAAGTCTGCAAATGTCCTATCCATGATAGTCTTAGCACCTTCTCTTGCGTAAAGAACTTTATTCATAAACTGCATTTACATCATCAGTACCTTCAGCAAGGCAATAGACAACAACTAAAAGGCAAAACTACTAAATAGCAAACAAAATGATCTGTATAACCCAGTTCCACAAATAATTACATAGGCAACTTCCTCCCCACCCCCCCTAAAAAAAAGATTTAAAAGAAAACTTTACATAAAGGTCTCCTTGAATTTAGAAACAGGGACAAAATGTGATTGTAACTTAAGTAGAAGTTAAGAACCTATGCATCCTAAACTACACTCGCACAGAATTTCCCAGAGCAAACTTAGATGATACACTAGATTCCAAAACAAAATTTGCAGACACTGGGAGCATACATGATCAAGTAAATTAAACAATAAACAAAAAACATGCACAAAAAAAACAAAAAACACCCACACATAGTGAATGAAACAAACACAAGACGCAAAAATTATAGTTCTGGATAGAAGAAGAAATAGGTCAGATGAACTGTACAGCAGAACAACCAGCAGACTGAACCAAACCTATATTTTGTTGTACTTACAGACCCACCAATCTACGAAGCAGACGTCCCAAAAACAATATCCTGTGTGACTATATTTACTGAACCACCAATCTAAGAAGCAGAATCCCAAAAACAACATCCAAACCCTAAACTCTTGGTATATTTATGGTCGAATGAATATTTTTAGTTTCTTAGCCTTAACAAGAAGAGAGGGATAAAAAGAATGGCACTCTCAAAAACCACAGAACTACACCCTGCAAAACGGAATTCAAAGAGGATGAGAACAGATCACAAAAAAAAACATCCAGTAATCCACCCCAGTTGCCATGAAAAAAGTACACCCCAAAGTAGCCAAGGATTGTCTCTTGCTAAAACAAAAAAAGCCTAGACTAATATAATCTAAACACATCTTTCTAGCTAACCTTAGACCACATTCTAGAGAGAAAAATGCAAGGACCATAGTGACTTAGAAAAATGGTATGTCCTTCCCCTTAAAATGCTTAGGTACCTTTGCAAATCACCAATGTTAAAACCTTCAGTTAGTGAAAACGACACACCCAACACAAGAAAGTCTAGTCACCAACTACTTTGGATTCGTATCGGCTATGTATGGCTTTTAAGGTCATCATGTCTTTTCTTAACCCCCAATCCACAATTTGCAAAATAGGTTTCAAACATCAAGGTAATTCACTTCTCAGTAGTGCAGCCCTCCTGAACAAGTTTGATCTCAAGCTTCTGCAAAAGCATTTGTTTCCTTTCTATCCTTTTTTCGTCCAATGTCAAGTGTAAGAACACAGAAGGATCTAGGCCTCAAGGCAATCACCTCACACGCATATTTCAGAAGTATTACCACTCAGATACATGTTTTTCCAAATTCCTCTCCTTAATGGGCTCTTACTAACCAAAATCCCATTTTAATTTTTCACATTGTTGCATCTATGTGGGGTATCTGATATTTTAAGGCCCCATTTGGATGACAGGAATCCTAATTGGGAATCGGTATCTTATTACCAATAAAGGAATGCCCTGGGTTTTAAATACGGACAAATCTTTTATTTAGTGTTTGATTGTTATTAGTAATCTAGTATGGAAATTAACATTTATTCATTGATTGATTTTAATAAAAAAAATATATTTTACAAAGGAACTTGATTTTAGGACTGAACTTAATTTTAGAAGCAGCTTGATTTTGGGATTTATTTAAATTTTAGAATACCCAATCAAGTTGGGTATGACATTACCACCTTTGACTCTACATTTAGGATGCCCTCCATTATTGGGAATTTGGTACCAATAGTAATGTTATTCCCAGCTTAGATTACCGATTTATTATTGTTTGGATAATTCATGGATTTAGTAATGTAATTCTCATTCCCAACCAAGATTACTGCCTTCCAAATGGTACCTAAAAATGGCAAATCCCTCTCCTTAATGGGGGCCCTACTTACTGAAATGTCTTATCCTGTTATCCCAAAACTACAAAACAATGTATATTTGACGTATCTAACATTCCGCATAACAGACTGCTTCACCTAATATCTGCATAAATTTCTAGATTACCTGGTTATAGAACTTCTCCGGATTCTCCTCCCTCAAATTATGGATTTCCAAAGCAACCTTTGCATCGCATCCAACCCCTGCAACAATAATAGGCCAAGTTTATCACTGTAGTGCATGAAAATATACCCAATAGACTCAGGAATTCAATAAAAAAAATTAAAAAAAAAATGATCTACAGGAATTCCCTATGCAAGAAGTATTTTTTGGCACACTTGGGAAATCTCAAATACCAAGTCCCACCAGAATACTCGTCCTTGCCTGAATAAATTTGCAAATATGTGATCAAAAAAGAATATCTTGGAAAGACAGCAATTAATTTGGGATTGACACATGGGAGTAAACACAACAACCAACAATACATAGATGTGTACCCATATACGTATTTCTTAGAGATCATATGTTATGACAACCCAATAATATCCTTGACCAAAGCAGCAAAAGTGAGACCAAATGGAATTATAATAAAGCAAGCTGAACCTTAACCCAATCCAATTCAGAATCTTTCCTCTTGACCCAACACAGTTAAATATTGCACCTTGATGAAAGTAGCCCAAGTGAAGTCAAACTGAGACTTTGTTGCTATAGGTTACAATAAAGCACACTGCATCCAGTAAAAGATTGACACTGAAAGTTGTTGATCTAATAAAGGTCCAATTCAAAGCAAAACCAATATAACCTGATTTCAACCTAAACACATCCACGTGCCTATTTGTATAAAAATCAATCTTAAAATTTGCCTCAGAGCATCTAATATTATTCGTATACAGAAACATTAAGAGGCTGACAGAGTATTTGCCACATACCAAGATAGTTATTCATAAATTTCGGGGGTTGAAGTTTCTTTCCCTGTTGGTTCAAAATTGCTACTTTCCATCTATCAAGAATTGTTACTGCAGCATGTTCTATGTGCTCCAGCAGTGTGAAAAGGCCGCCTTGTCTCTCCACTGAGCCCAAACCACCTCCCCAAGACAAAACTCGAGCCAAGTCATTTCCAGTCCCTGCAGGAAGAATAGCTACTGGAGGCGGCGAGACAAAATTTTGCTTGTCTATTGCATTCAACACCCATCCAACAGTACCATCTCCACCGCAAACAAGAACTCTGAAGTGCGGAACCTTTCTAAACAAATAGAGACCAACCTCTGGTCCCTGCGTCGAGCTCAACTCAAAAACCTGTAGCAAGCACAGATCAACAATCAACAGAAATCAAATTGCAATGTAGAAAACTGGTTATCAAAGCAAATGATCAAGGTTGACCAACTTTTTAAGACATTTGGGTTAAAAAACCAGTCCAGCAGAATTTACTGTTCGTCAGTAATGAGTAGTTCAATTTCAATCCCCAATCAATTCAACACATTATACCTCCTTTCTGAGTCCATATTTTTCAAACAAATCATTTCCTGAGATATTTTAGCCATCACCCAATCGAGCCACTATAATTGGCAACAAATCATCAATAATCTGATGCTCTCCATTTGGCTGTCCAGAATTTTAAGCAGTGAAGTGCTTCCCAAAAAATTGAAATAAAGGAAAGGAAGAGAAAGGTTATCATTACCCATTGTCTACTTATCAGGAAAAAAGGAAGGTTAAAAAAAATTAGAAGAAAACAAGCCATTTTTCCAGCATGTATTTAGTACCCTGCACTTTGCAGAGACTAAGCATTAAGCTTTCCTTGACTGCAAATCCTGATTATGCAAGAAATGATTTAAGGAATACATTCCTGCAGGAAAAAGAGGAAGGTAATAAAAAAATTTAAAAGAAGAAATCATTTTTCTGCGTGTATTTAGCACGCGGAACACTTTGCAGAAAATAAGAATTAAGCTTTCCTGCAATCCAAAATCCTGAGTAAAGTGCAAAAAAAGGGATAATGTTTCTGCAGGAATAAGAACTGTGGCAGAACCACATAATCAACTAACAACTGAACACAGAAGTAGGAGGAAGCAGTATTGTTTTCCTTGCAAGTGAAGAATAGACACGGTGCACCATCAAAATTAATGTCCCCATAAACGAAACCCTCCTTTTCAATATTGGTAGTCTACCATTCAACTTATGCATACAAAATTCATAAGACTACACCCTTCTGAGAACACCCTAAAATCCAGCTTTTATTACAATTAGACCAACAATGCTGAAAAAGAATTACATACGGAAAGTCCACCTAAATGGATCACACAAATCATCCGAGAGAGAGAGAGATTTTAACAGGCACATGCCAAAGCATAGTTAGTAATTAAGGAATTTTCATGGCATAAAGGTCTAACCTGAACAGGATTTAACAGAAGATTTAACCGCTGCCTGAGTGAATCTCCTCGTTGAGCCCCACTCTTGTGGTTAATATAAACTAAGAGAGGCCTTGCATCTGGAGGCAAGTCAATCAACTCATATCTCTGTTTCACGCCAACCATCTGATGCTCGTCCTTATGATTGATTGATGAACTTCTTTTAAAACTTGGTTTTGAATCTAATTTCTTAACTGCATCACTGTCTTGGTGCAGATCTGGACCCCCCACATTTACACTACCATTACCGCTTTCCTCCATTCTGTGATAGCCATTAACTGTATGGTTAGTACCAGCTGTGCTATCTGTGGACGTGTCGCCAATACTGCCGCTATCACCTGTGTCTGCAGAGGCTTCATTTCCCTGCTTGTACTTCTTGCTTTGACTCCTAATACTAGCACGTACAGAAGATGCAATCTCATTGGCTCCATGAGTAATGGAACTCAAAAATCCACCAGAAGAAGCCAAATTCAATTCCCGGACATAAAGCGGTGATAGTATCAGCCTTCTAAATGGGCCCAAATCACATATGTCACCAGTTTCATTAGACATACCACCATGGCAGTCAACATGAACCACGCGCTGACACCACAAGCAACACCAAATAGGGGATCCACCAAGGAAAGATCCGCTGCATGGCTCCTCACAATGGCTGCAAAAAGAAGTTTCATCAGGTTGATCAGTGACCTCTGTCCACCAGATGGCCCATTGGTGCATCACATGCTCATACCCAATCATAGATACACACTTGCAATCCTTGTGAGCATTCGAGGAGCAACTCAGGTGGGCTGCTACACCACATATGCTACAACAGTGAATAAAACTGTCTGCAGCCACCATAGGCCCAAGAGCTTGAGAAGGAGACATTGATTTTAAGCACACACAGCAGTTTAAACTTTTCCCACGGGACACAGATTCCAAACTCCAAGTATGAGGAGCAACAGGGATATTATTTCTTGCTTTTGGATTTTTTTTGGACCTGGCTATGGCTTTCGTCCAACTCAGATTGATGTTTCTTCTCCACTGGAAGGAGGTGTAGGCTATAGTCAATATTCCAATTAGTCCAGCAATAAAGCAAGAGATAATAAAGAGACGAGATTCTGCCATTTCAGATGGATTTTTGATGATCCAACTGGGAAGTAGAATCTCCTGTTCTCTGTATTCATCCATTTTTCAATATTTGCTTTTCTGAATTCTACATGCACAGGTATATAACAACAACCACCTATTCACCAAAATAAACATCCAACTCAATTTTCCCAGGAGTCTGCACAAAAGTTCCCCCACTAAACTTATATTATTGAAGCACGAGCACATAATGAGGATGAAGTCTGGAAGTATTCGGTCATCTTGCTGGATCCAATCAAATCACACATCAAGTCCCACAAGCTTTGGAAAAACTATCTATCTGACAGCATTATTCTGCCAAGTTTGTTTAAGAGAAAACTAAATTTATATCATTTGTATGTCATCCGTATCTCTTGCATAGCACAGACGTCAATATTCAAGCTCCAAATTCACAACTCCCAAATAAGGAACAGATTCAGAGGCAAGAAAATTTTAAATTACCTGCAAATCATAATAACCATGTCAGAACGAAAATGAAAACATCCAATTTGGTACCCCCTCCCCCTTCTTTCCATTTCACAAGATAGATGATGCCAGAACAATGGACACATAATCGGCAATGATGCCCATACTTACAGTGGTTCAAAGTGCTATTTCTCATTCAAGTATCAAAGTCGAAACATGGTGAAAAAGTTTTTAGTTTGTTTGAAGTCATTTTTGCATAACACTAGCCAATCCAACAACAAATTAGTACCCATAATTTTGCATAAGAGTTCAAACTTAAGGACACAAATTTATGATACGACTTCTATCAGATACTAACTTCTTGTCACAAAATGGATTTTTATCGGACAGTTGATTTTATGCAAGAAAAAGAGGTTTATAAACTTACAAATTATTTGCTGATAAGCAATTAATAATTTTTTTTTCACTATGAGATTACAAACCAAAGATATACCATAAAAACTAAAACCAATAAAAAGTAAAGAGCTTTAAGCCATTGCCAAGCCCCAAACCATCATGAAAAATTCCCAACAAAAACCAACAACTAATACAGGTCATGAGAGTATCGTCATTCTGAATTGCCACATAATCAGTGCTTTTAGAATTACATCACAAATCACCAAAATTTACTATAAATGTCCAATGGATATTTCTTTTTTTCCAATCACTTTCATCTGCTATAACTCAGAGCTCTATATAACCAATAAACAATTATTTATACACATAAAAAGAGAGAGAAGAGCCAGAGAGAGACAAAGAGAGAGCACTTACGTAGGCACTTTTTGTGATGTTCGAGAGGAGAGATCGAGCCGGTGGAAGTAAACCCTAGAGAGAAAAAGAGGAGAGAGAGAGAGAGAGAGAGTGCCTCCAAGATCGAGAATCAAAGAGAAACAATATATTTCGAAATAAAGCTTTAGGTATTATTCTCTATATATATATAGATTTTTAATTTGTATTTTTTTCTTGCTTTTTTAGTCGCTTTAATTAGATTCTCTTTCACTTTCGGTGATTCAGATTCTGTGAAGGTGGTGGCCTATGTGTAGAAAGCGCGGTGCGTAGGTTCACCGTAGTACACGTTGCGAAAAGAGACGGCATGAAGTTGGCAGGGGAATTTGGGTCCCACCCTTTTCCTTCATCAGGAGCCTTTAACTCAACAGTCTGACTTACACGTTGCCGACACGTTACGGATCACTTGAGAAACTAGTGTCCAACTACAGGGACCTGTTCGGTACACAGGATAGGAGGAAATTTGGGAGATAGATTAAAAATAAATGTCTACAAAACCTAACAAATTCTATGTTTGGCAAGTTCAAGTTATCAAACTCAACTCGCCTTAGACTTATAATCTAAACCCATGTTCATGGCTTTTAATGAATCCCAGGTGGGGTTGGGTTTTGTATGGGATTAAAAGATATTGACTATAAAAAAATAATTATACCCCTACACACGCCACTCCTCTCTCTTTCTCTTGCCCTCTCTCTACTCTTCTGCCTTTCACGATCTTCTCATCGTCTTGGCTAAACCATTAGTAATAGCAACAACTTTCACTCAGGTACACCTTTTTTCTCTCTCTCACGTCGACTCAAACCCAACAGTTTACGTAAACAGCAAACAACAATACACACAGAGAACACATACACACACACACAAAACGGCCACACACATAAATTTTTTGTTTATGTTTTTAATTTGGGTTGTTTAATTTGAGTTTTTATTTTGTGAATATTTTTATTATGAAATATGATTTTTTTTAAGTATGAACACTCAATAATGTTTTTAACCATTCCACTGCTCAATGGTGCAGCAACTGATCCCTTCACTGCAATGCTAACAATAAGTTTTGTCAATAATGACTTCCCGTCGCCCAGAAGATAAAACAAAGAAGACAAGCTACAAATTTCATTAAAATCCTATAAGTTTAGTGTATTTATATTTTGACCCCTCAAGTTATAGAACTTTGAGCATCTTTGATAAGTTTATTAGAGCGTGTGGGTCTAGATCCCTCAAGTTTTAAAAATAGTCCAATCAAAAATATTTTAAATTTTAAAACCAACATTTGTGTTCTATTAAAAAAATTTATTATTTACAATATAGAAAAAATAATCAAATATATCATAAGGACACAAGAAAAATGTACATATACAAATACAAACACGAGTTTGGATTAGATTGATGAATTGACAAAATAGTTATTTGTAGATAAATATATTATCATAATAATGATATATCCGTGAGCATATCAAACATGGGGTGTAGACGAGATTAAATGTTGAATCTCATTTTTGTAAATAGAGGTTTGAGTTTGAAAAGGTTTGAACAAGTCAATCCAAACCCCTTCCAAAAAATCATCTAAACAACCTCCAAAAGTAGCCCTTTTGGAGATGAAATAAGTCATAAACTCAAATATCTTGAATTTAAAACTTGATAATTCTCTTGAGTCCAGATTATGAGAAATTTATATCTCATAAATTTCATAGTCTAAACGTGAATGAATTATCTTTAATCGGACTAAGAAGGAGATTAATCAAAATATGAACAAGTTAGTTCAAACACTCTCAACTATAAACTAAAAAAAAAAGAGACTAATGACCATTTTGCGCTTTGAACTTTTGAGTTTTAGAGAGTTTGAGAAAAAAAAAACCTTTCGATTTTGTGAAAAAAATGAAAATCTATTCTTATTATAAAGGGAAGTGGGGTTGAGTGAGTTTGACACCTTTTCCAATATATTTTTTCTTCTCTCATGACAGATTATCTATCATGTATTTAAGTGGGTCAAATGAAAAAAAATTGAGAAAAAAATATATTAAAGAAGATCTAATAAGTCCAATTTAATATATCTTTTATTCTTTATTGTTTTTCCATTTAACTGCCTTCACTCATAAAATATCCATATTACATTTCATTTCACACAATAACCGTGTGTAGAGCCCTCTTAATAACAAACTAATATCTCATAACCCCTTGCACAGAATTAGAAAATTAGGAAAGAAAACTTACCAACTTTTTATATATATTATATAAATTTTCTACCTGTTAGTGTGCATTAGAATTGGTAATACATGTGAGTGTTAATGTGTGGTGTATTAAAATGTATTCAATTCATACACAATTTATTTATAATTATATATAATATAATTACTTTTATATTGCATTATGTTTGTATAGTATATAAATTTTCTATAGTCAGATTTATACCAATTCAATGCAAGGAGTAAGCCTGTTCAAAAAGAAATGCAGGGAGTAAGAGGACCCAAGACCTGCCATGAGACTCAGATCAGCAATTGGACAAGTTTCAACGCTAAAAGCATCAGGGGTTCACAGGGACGTCGTTTAGCTTTACCAATCCTTTTTTTTGGCCTTTTTCTGACAAGTTAACTTACCAAGCCCCTTAGAGCTTGTTTGTTTGGTACGTGGGTTTAGGCGAGTTTTAAAACATGAGTTAAAAGAACAAACCCCGTCAAAGCAAATACATAACTAACTCAGAGTTTGAAACTCAACCTACTTTAGGCCCGGAAATAAAATCCGAGTTCATAAGTTTCATAAAATTCAATGGGAGGCGAGTTTCATATATGGGTTAAATGGTTGAACATATAAATAACATTTATATCCCCATATATCTCATATTCGTAAACAAACATAAATTTAAATTAAATTAATTAAGAGACACAATAATTATTTATATACAAATATATTATAATAATAGTCATATATCCATGAACATAACAAACATGAATACGGACGACATTGAATGTTGAATCCCATTTTTGGGTTTGAAAAAGTTTGGACAAACCAATCTAAACCCCTCTCAAAAAATCAACCAAAACAGCCCCTTAAGGAGGTAAATGTTCCTTAAGGAGTAAAGGTTCAATGTAATGTAACGGTTACACCATTTGCAACCAACCAATTCATTACTCCATATTGACACAACCCAAACAGTAAATATGATAGCATAAAAAAAAGGTAAGGTACCACCACCATTTGCTCAAATCTCATCTTTGGAGATCAAGTTCAATAGTAGAAATACCAAGTCCAAAGTTAAAGACAGTTTCTGCAGATGAAAAAGCAAGTAAACCAAACAGAATCATCATTTTATAGAAACGAATTTCAGAAACTAGACAGTTAAAAACAACTAGCATACCCAGTCAAAAATGACATGGTTCATGACAGGCGGGTCTCAGGCAGAGCCGAAAATTAATGTAACAGCAAATTAAATCTACTTGATCCAAACAACGGAAATAACAAATCACAACTATCTTAATGTATCCATAGCAAGGCTTGATTCCACAACTCTCAAGGAGCAATCACAATCCTTCCAGCAACTTGGTCAAGATCCCGCTGGCCACTGGATGTGATCTTCCTCCCACTGGTAAAAGAAAAACAAGCCTCAGCAAAATTTTGAAGAATTTAAGATGGGGATTACTGCAAGAAATTAGGCCCTATCAAGAAACACAGAGAAAAGAACACTTCCAAAACTGGACAACCAGCCACGACCAAAACCACATACACCAACACTATCTTTTGTCCAAATTTAAGGAATGAGACTGCTAGATGTTTCAAAGCATTGAATCTCATAATTAATATATAATCTCTCTCAAGATAAAAAAATTTCTTTCCTACATCAAAGTTCTTAATGAAATATGCTTGACCATTTTGTAGCAATTCATACGCAGCGAATACAAACTTGGAGAACTTAAAAATAGGCCCACTTATTAGAAAAGAAAGACGCGAGTTATAAGAAACTTGCAAGGTTTTTAGTTACAAGTGGTGATTTGTTTACAGGCCACAGCCTCCCATCCTTCATGGGTGAAAAGCATCCTTCAGATGATAAAGAGCTTCATGTTACCTACAACCTACATGACATGGTCACTAGCATGCCAATGGCTATTGACCATAATGGGAGACTAAGGCTGCTCTGCTGCCCCTATATCATAATGTAAATCAGAAGTAACTCACCCCTTTGAATCAAAGTCAATTATGTTCATAGTCTGCAATTGCTGAAGTATGTGACGAGCTATGGAGCCACTGCTCTTGCAGAAATGGGGTGGTCGGCTACCATTCCTCTTGCGCCCACCATAGATCCTCTGGAAACCACCAACACCAAGTCCTCCTCTCAAATAGATTTTCCTTGCCATAGATGCTACAATCCAAATTCAATAAAATGAGATATGAAGAAGTCCAAATATAAAAATCACTAAGAAATGTGTGTGCTATTACCATGTGATAAACAAGAAGATAACTGAGGAGTAGAACCAACATACCAGCTCTGATGTAGTACCAATCGGGGTCATATGGGGCAAGCTCTTTGAAGGTAGCAGTCTTCACAATATCAGTCCAGTGGGGAAGCTCAATCTGTCAGATGACACCAATATGAGACAACCACAAAAGAACATTGACACAATCTTCAACATAAAAATCAAAAAATGACACAATTGAGAGGTCATACAATAACCAAATACAAGTTTTGTTTAGAAATCAATTACTATATGCCATTTTCCCAATAAAACAGAAGAGACGAAAAAGTATAGAGGACAAAAATGTGTGTTGGGATTTATAACACTAACTCTTGACAATAATTCATATAGCCAACTCATTCCGTAAATGTAACATGTTGCACTTTCTGTAGTTTTATTTTATTTTTTTCCAAACAAAAAAACTGTACCATAAATCCTTGTTAACACGTTTATCATTTCTTTTTGTGGATCATTGGAAAACAAAACTATGCAAGTATGGTACGATAAAGCAACATTTGAATAAGTTACAAGACAGAAAACTCTCACTACACATCACAGTATTATTTCCAGCACCACTCCTTTTAAAATTAGTCTTCAACAAGAAGCAGAATGCATCAGAGAAACCTTAGTTTTTTGTAAACAGAAGCCATAGTAGATTCTAACAATTATTTGGATGAGTTGAGTGGCTTAACAGAATCAAACTGATAGATTAAAACCAAAACCCAAATGAAAAAATATGTATTACCCTTTAATTAGAAAACATATTCATATAATGACACCATGAGCACCACAATCCCCCCAAAAGAGAAGACAATGGCTTTCAAAAATATAACCAAATTTACAATCTTTCACAACTACCAAGCTATAAGTTTTTTCTAAATTTTTAGGCAACACACTGTTCACTTGATTTTTCACTACACCCATGAGCAGCTTCCCAATCAAATAGTATGAAAATGTGGCGAGAACTAATAACACAACTGGCCATGAAAAGCAAAATTATAGACCTCTAGCACCATCAGATGGCTACAACAATATCCGAAAAATCAACTCCAACGTGTAATCTAAGTACTATACCATTATATTACTAAAATTATTTACAAACGATTTAATTCTGCACCATGATATTGTTGTGCAGCAGAAATGTCCAAAGTCCCAATTCCAGTAAGCACCAAAATCAAGTAAGAGAATCAATGGCCAAATATCAGCCACATAACAGAATAAAATGATAATAAACGAGTTCCACACAAATTTTCCAGAAGCCAAAACAGGGTGAATTAATAAATTCAAACTTCGTATAATTTAACAACTAATTCCAACTATCTAAAGTTCCATGACACGAAACAAATAAATGACAAGACCATTTGACCAAAAAAAAATAAATAGGTAATGCTGACAATCAAACATATATATCCTTATTTAACACAACCACCCCTTTTAACTAGTATTGTACGAGGAAAATTTGTGATTTTTATTAATTTTTCTCATTTACTGATCTAATATTGTATGTATATTACACGTATCATAGTAGAATTAAAGGATTCTTAATTTTATTTTGCATGGATCTAGATCAAACGAATCTTTCATTTATGTGATTGTGTGTGATGAATTTACTTGAGAGAGAAGGGAGTATTAATACTAAGAATCCCGATTTACAGGTTATGCATGTACAGCTAGGGTAAGGTTAACATAGAATTCGAAACGAACAGTGAACATGGAATGATGTGACTAGACAGACACACCAACCAGAATTTCAGACATCCAAAAAACCCCTAGCAACCCATGATTTACAGACAAAATGATATAAACACTGCCAGACCAAACAAGTATCGGCAACTACATACGCATAACCACTGAAGAGCACTCCATAACCAGACATATATACATATTATTCTGAATAACAATAAATTAGGCTGAAATAAAAACAATATGGAAATCCAGTGGCATAAAAAATAGCTTCACACAAACAGAGCATTTAGACCACATAGATGCAAATTCGATTGATCCAGTTATAAACATTAAACAGCAGAGCATAGACATTTAGATATCACTTAGTAAAGAGTCAGCACCCAAAAATACAAGCTAAACTAAACACAATAAAACTCTGAAAATCAAGATCTACAATTATATACATACACATTTTGCGAACACACACACACACACACACACGTATATACAGATATGTGTATATATATATTGGAGAGAGAGAGAAAGAGACCTTGCCGGAGCGCTTGAGGTGAGCGGCATAGGCCTTGACGAACTCATGAGGCGAAACGTCTTTCACAGTTCTTGCCGTCTCCATGTCTGCGGCTACTACGCTGTTCTGCTGCTGCTACTGCGGCCCGCCGATCACCTAGAGCTCCAACGAGGGTTCCGTGCTTGAGAGAAGTGATAGAGAGCTAGGGTTTATCTTTTATAGTGTTACTGCTTGTCTAACTATGGGCCGATTAGGGTTACATGTAGTAGGGGCCTACTGAGACGGCCCATATACAAGGCTACTAAGAGGCCTCAAATTATAGGTCTATCTAACATGGTGAATACCAAAAATTTAAGAGAAATTTGGAAGCTGATCCCTCTATGTAAATTTATTTGAATTTAAGTCTGTTAAAGAAACTTATTTGTTATACAGTTTATTTTTTGTTAATTTTATCAGACTATCCATTTCCTTTAAAAGTGAAATAAAATTAAAAATTAAAACTCCTAAATTTTACGAATTTGATAAACATTAAAAAAATTTCTTTCTCATATCTATCTTTATTCATATATAGCTAAAAACTATATCTCTCATATATATATAGTAACATTCAAATTCAAAAAAATGTTATCATTTAAATACAAAAAATAAAATCATTTAAACACAAAAAATTATAACATTCAATATTAATATTTTTTAAAAAAATAACAATAATAACAGGTTCAACAAAAATAGTAACATGCTCAACAAAAACATTAACATACTCAACAAAAAAAAATAGCAATATGAAACATTGAAAATAAAAATAGTAGCATTCAAACATTAATTCTTCAGTATCCAAAAAAATAACACTGAAAAAGTAATAACATGTTCAATAAAAAATAGTAATATGAAAAAAAATAATAACATGGTCAATTAAAAAAATAATTAAAAAAAATTGAAGCTGCAAATAAGATAGTAATATAGGAGGTTTTTCTCTCCACAAAAGTGAATATTTACCGTGCATGATGACATTGAAACAGTCTGACCCCAAAATATTTAGTGAAAATGGTATGGAGAGAGAGAGAGAGAGAGAGAGAGAGAGAGAGAGAGAGAGAGAGAGAGAGAGAGAGAGAGAGAGAGTGAATTTCAATTTTAATTTAGGAATGAATTAAGATATAATAATTTTTAATTTATGAAATTAATTTAAAATTACTTTCAAAGTCTTTAAGGTTTTATAATTGAATATAATAATATTGTTAAGGAAATTTTTTGGATTTAAAAAAATAGTGGACTTAAATATTTATTAGTAAGATAAAAAACGAACTTATCACCAAATAAAATTTCTTAACCGACTCAAGTCATTATAAGTTCATCCATGAGTACTCAACCCCAAGTTTCACAAAATTTAAACCTATAAAAATTGAGTCCAACAAAAAAACTCAATTAAAATTTCAACCAACAAAAAAACTTAATTAAATTATTTGGGAGAGGAGACATCATTAGTCTTTCTCTCTCTCTCTTACACACACACACACACGTTCTTCTTCTAGTTATATTTTTATTCTTATGTAAAATTAAAACACAAATTAAACTATTTATTTTCATCATCTCTCCCTTTTAATCTCATATTTTTTTTTTATCTATTATGAATGAAGCACTTTTTAAAATAACTAAAGACATAAAATATTAATTTACTCGACGGTGAGAGACTCACAGAGATTGTGATTGTTACGAGATACGCAAAAACTTTGATCTTTTGAATGAGAAGAGATACAACAACACCCACCCTCACAATTTTAGAACTCTAATTTAATTTATAATCCTTAGTTTACCTTCATATTTTGAGTCCATTTTAAATGGACGAAGTTAAAGGCTTAATGTATTTCACAATTCTAGGTAAAGTCTTATAAAAAAAACCCTAAAATCTATATAATAAATGAGTTAACTTTGTTTATCTTGAATTTTTCACAGTTCACATCATTTGAAGATTATTGATCCGATAATTCTAATTGGAATATAACTCTCTCTCTCTCTCACAATCGTCATATCTCTTTTAAATACATATTCTTTCATCTATCGTACTCTTTCAGTCTCTCTCTATATATATCTCACATGCTAATTTATATTGTTGTTTTGACAACTTGAGTGTGTTGTCCTAAGAGAGAGCCTTAGGAATTATAAAATGTAGCTTTCTCAACTTTTTTCATGCATTGGTTGGGATGCCTTTGATTCATATTTTACATTGTATGAACGTGGATTGGTTTAAAAGTAATTGTCGGTGTCAAGTGGACATGACCTATGCATTTAATATGTTACAGAGGTCATGGTCAAGTTAATTGTATTATAAGTGAGCGGTGTTAGTATTAGATCATTTAACACAAATAAATAAACATGACCCGTTAGGATTGAGGGGGGTTTTAAAACAAATTTGAATAACGCTATACAATCTAATACGACACAACTTTGTTGTCCCCCCTATATTAACACTATGCGCAACTTTATTTTATTATAGTATTTATATAAAATAATTTTATATTAATTTTTCTTAGTCAAATCTTATATTTTTATGTGTATTTATATGGGAAATCCTTTAAAAATAAAAAAATAATATGAAAAATCATTTTATTAAATGTGTCAAATTAGGAATATTTTTCTATAGAAAATGAAATTTTGAAAAAATAATCATGTTCGCAAAATATAACGAATTTTGATGATTATTGCTTAGTCATTCTCTTTAATTTGATGATTGCTCTGGGTGGAAAGAAATTCTGGGTCTGCCCCGAAGGTAATGGATTATGGTTGAATTCTCCAATTAGATTGGCCCACTTGGATGATTTCCCTAATTGTCCTAATCGGCTAGTCCTTCAATTTGTTTGGATAAACCAGAATCTCAATGCCTTCAATCATAGGTAAGAATATTGAATAGAGTGTCAAAGTAGAGAATCATTATTTTCTTTGCTAATAGATTTCATTGGTGAACCCAATTCATGTTGGAAAGAAAAAACCTACAATAACTTTTTGAATTATTCGAATTCAAAAACCATAAAAAAATAATTCACCTGATATTTATAGTTAGGAAGAAAATGCAAAAAATGATTTATTTTCAATAATCCAGCATAGACAATAAATACAATAAAAGTCTCATAAATATCTATCTATTATTACAGTTAGTAAGTTGAATTCTCAACTAATAAAAGCAAAATAACAGTCAAAATTGATCAAATCTTCATCAATTTTGATTCAATGATATAATATTCATCCTAAAAATTTATTTTTTTGCCCAAAAATGTTAACTTTTTGGACTATCCTCAATATCAACCAACTCAATCAGCTTACTCCTCAATATGAAACAATCTCATCAATCTACACCTACCTCTCTTTTTATTTTAATTTTAAATTGCTTAGTTAAAAAATTTTAATTATTATTTAAAATATAAATATTATAAGATCAGTTCGATTATTGATATTATATAGTCTTCAAACATGGAGTTATTGCTAGTAAGATAACATTTCACCTAATTAGACATATTTTTTATATCATCAAAATGATTTACAAAAATATTCACATGCAACCTATCGGGGGTAAGTTTGTTTGAAGGATAATGGTGGTATAAGGAGGCGAAATTAAGAAAAATAGTACATGGGGTCCAGTAATACTTTGTTTGTTTACTTTTTTTTCGTATGGTATTATTTTTTGGATCACAATATTAACTCGCTAGCTATAGTTCATCAAAACTCATATACATGGACTTATATAATACCACCTCGGTAGTATTATTTTTTGGATTTTGGCCACCAAAGGCATGTTTATTTAAGGGTTTAAATATGGGTGGTATTGGAAATGTATTCCATACATTTCCAATACCAATAAAAATTAGTACAAGTAATAAAAAAATATTCAAATCTCCTCTAATATCTATTTGTTTAATAAGTATTATGGTGAGTCCCACAAACAATCATCTATTATATATAATAAATATACTATTTTACCCTTAACATCATTTATTCCATTACTTTATTTGTGTAAATATTTTTGAACAATGTTTAGTATAATACATGATATAATAATCGATACCTAAAAAATTCCAGATAATGTAAAAAATTCACATAAAATATTAAGAATTTAATGCTATGAATCGATGATATCGTAATTTTTTCTTTAAAAAAAAAGGAAAAATTCAAAATATTTAAAAAAAAAAAAAAAAGGTGACACTGTACGCTTAGACATAATATAAGAAAAAAAAAATTAAAATAAATTTTTTATATGTAACTATTAATAGAGGAGGGCATTTGTGTCATTTTTTCTCTTGTACTGTCCTTTCATTTATACCATGAAGATAATACCACCGGGTAGGTGGTATTCTTTAATATCATGTATAAGGTTTAATGGATATTGTATAAATCGGGTTGGTATTATAACCCAAAAAATAGTAATGCGTGTAACTGCCAAACAAATAAAGTAATAGGTGGGCATAGGTACTATTTTCTTTTATCCCATCCTATAATACCATTTAATCCCCCAAACAACACATGCCCCAGTGGTTTTTTGGCCACCAGCGGTTTTTTATTTTTAATTATATTAATTTTTTTTAAAGAAGTTCTGAATTTTTTTCTTATATTATATTTAATTGTACGGTGTCATTAGTTTTTTTAAAATTTTTTAATTTTTTTTTCTAATTTTGAATTTTTTCCTCGTATTATATTTAAGTATAAGGTGTTTCCGATTTTTTTTTAAATCAATTATTTTAAATTTTTTTCTTATATTATGTTTAAGCATACAGTGTTACCAATTTTTTTTTTACAAATTTTTTTGTACATACATCTGAAATAGAATAATAGAATGTATGATGTTAAGATAAAATTATATATTTGTTATATAAAATGTGATATAATAATAGTTATTTGTAGGACCTACGATAATAGCAATCTAATTAACCTTAGTGGCTATTAATTAGTTGATATTATTTTTTTATTCCTTTTTTTTTGTGGCTTTTTAAATCTTTCTACAATCTCAAGTCTCAACTGCCTTAGTGGGTGTAGTTCGTTAAACCACCCCCTGTAGCCTGGAGGGAAACCTAACCCATGTGACTCTCTCTCTCTCTCTCTCTCCTGACGCCGCATTGTTCTTTAATGCCGTTGTTGGTCCCCTTCTGAACGAGCGTGAAACACATCGACTCTCTCCCTCGTACGCATCGCCACTGCCTCACTACTCCTTCATTCCTTTGTTCTTCTCTCTCTTTCTCACATTCTTCGATTTCTTCATTCAATCCCTCTGTTTTCACCGCCCAATTCCTCTTACAAAAATCCATCTCCCTCATTCCTTTCCCATTTCACAACCCAATCTTCGGATTCTAAGCTTGGATTTGCTTCGATTCGATCCCGATTTCGATTCTATAATAGCCTCTTCAATGGCTTCTATTTCTGTTCCTTGCCCCAAAATAACTGCTTTATACGGTGCTTCGCATCCCAGCCTGACTCAGTGCCAACACCATCATCAACAACGTTCCGTTTCGTTTCGACCTGACTCGAAATCCAAGCCTGCATTGCTCGCTGGATCTTCAATTGACAACCCCAACAAGTTTCTTGGACTTCAGGTTAATCTTCCACATCTGAAATTCTTTTCGATGTTGACGATTTTTGTGTACTTAGATTGGTGAAATTGTTATATCGAGTGTCTGATTTGGATAAATACTAGTTTTAGCTTCATTTATGAGAATAACTATTTTATCACTGGGAACAAAAATAAAAAAATATTTATTTGACTAAAATAGCCTTAATCAAATAACTAATGCCTCATATATCCTTTTTAGTAAATAAGTATATATGTTGATATTTGGTCTTCGTTCATTCAAAACGTTTCTTCATCTTACCTGAAGGTTATGTCTCTCTGTCTTAACTCAATTGCAACGTTTCCCCATCTAAAGTACTTATTCTTGTAAGTGCTAATAATTCTGATAATTATTCAGTGCGCACTGAATATGCCCAACGTACACTAGCTAATACGCAAAGAGAAAATACTAGCATTCCTTTAATGCTCCAGTTGATTGGCCTATTGAAACTTTAATCCTCTCATATTCCCTTAACAGGTTATCTCTTCAAAACCTTTTTAGTTTACCATCTCAAAGACAACCCCCCTCCCCCTTCTTCCTCTCTCTGTCACTCTCACCCAGTTTTGCCTTTGTTACAAAATTAGAGGAACAGGTACTTTTTCTCCGTCTTCCATGATCTATTCTATATCTATTTCCATTGTGTTGTTTATTTATGGGATTTTGAAATAGGCATGTTTTTCTTCCTCCACAAATCTTGCTTGAATCAAAATTTAACCATCAAGTCTGAAGAAGGCAAAGAAATGGTACAAGAGACATGAAAAATGGAGGAAAATAACCAAAGTCAGGTGTTTATATGCCAATCCTATAAAAATATTTTCAAAGGACTGGTATCATTACCATGTGTCAAAAGTGAGGCTGGTGGCAAGAGGAACTGCTTCAGAATGGTTATGCACAATTCATACGCATATGTGTGAACAGTAACTGTGGTCCAAGTGTCTAGACCATTTGTCTAACGCCTCCTAGATGTGTTATTCAGTATAAGCTTTTCTCAACAACTCAACACACATTTAAGATGCTTTCAATCTTGTTTGCTTGAGAGTATTTTCCACCTTAATTTCATTCTTGAATCTACAACCCACAAAAAATACAAACAAAACATGAAGAAGAAATATACTTGATGTGTAACTATAGATTTTGTACTTCCCTCTTCTTTGCTTTTTCCATTCCCCCCATGTCGAAGGATTCTTGTAATTGTCAAGTTGCTCCTTGAATCAAACATATTTTAGATACTCTCTATTAAAATTCATGTTGGGGGTGAATGTTCATGTATAGCTTGACAAGAAAAAGGTAAAGATCGAATTTCATATAAGATTGCTATAGGCTGAAGATTCTTAACTTTTAGTTCACTTTTTTGTTTAAAAAAACAATGAGACATGTCATAACTATTGATGGTAGGTTCAAATCCTACTTTAGATTGTTCATATGTTAAAATTGTACTTAAGGGCTTCGTTTGTTTTATATCTTTAAATTGGTACAACACATATTCAAGCCCATGTTTCCCTAAGTCCTTAGTCCTTGTTAGCCATAGGGCAAAGAACTTCAACGATACTTACTTTTGTTTGAACTGGTTATATGGAATATTGATAAAAAAAGAAGAAGAATCCACTAAGGAAATTGAATGGAAAAATGTCACAACCACTTATCTTTAAATATGTTGGATCCATTCTGTTTAAAATTAGTAGAGTTTTATATGACGATATTTCTGATATTTTAGACTTAGATTTTATGCAATGTCTACTAGGAAAATGTGTGGTTTCTATGACAAATATGTCAGAAAAAAAAAATAAAATTTAGTGGTTAGCAAATTAGTTGTGCTCTCTTAATGCTTTTATTATTTTTAAGGCAGTCAAAGTTCTAGAAGCCAGTCAAGTAATAAAGCATAATTAGATATGTGCATTTCGTTTGACAAGTAAACTGGTGTATTTATATTATACATACACAAACAAATATTTTCTAATCATGTTTTGGGATAGTGATGGTCCATATGAATGCTATTTACTTTGAATACAGTGAGTTGGACCTTTTATCAAGTTCAAAGTTACATAGATTATATTCCAGTTGGGTTTTTGTATCAAGTACGTTTTGGCACTTCAGCCTGTAAATATTTGAGATGATGTCAAATTGTCATGTGAATGTATCTTATGTCCCCTTTTGTTCGATTGGATATAAATCGTGAATAAAAGTCCATTTTTGAAGGTTTACCTTTCAAATATTTATGAGTTTTTTACCATTGAGCAAGTTTTTTTTTCTGCTCTTTTGAATGGGAATGATGCATTAAGGAAGGTGATCAGAAATGTAGTTCCATCGTGCATATTCTATATGTGCAAAAACTGAATATAAAGGAACCAAAAGAAAGTGGCTTTGTCCAATTCTTTCCACAAACTTAGATATTAGATACTCAACATCTAATCTTATTCTTGGTTCTATGGAGTAAAATATCAATAATATTTTTGAGGAGTCCATTAATGTAGTTGTTCCAAACAATTATACAGGTAGTTCATGACTTCTACCTTATTTAATTGATTAGTTAAAAAGGAAAAAGTACATATTCATGGTTGATTAATAAATTGTAAATGTGAAAGAGAACAATAAACATTTTTTTTTGCAAAAAAAAAAAAAAAAGATTTAGAAATAGCATTTTATTTTACAATATTAGTTGCTTCCACTATAAAAAAAAAATCGTTTGGATAAATATTATGTATGAACATCAGTTCTTGGTTTAATAATATGATATTAATCAAAAGAACATGTTGAGCACCTACAACACATGTATGGTATAATATAAGTTACAAAAAACTAAACAATTCAGGTGGTTGGTTATACAGTTGAATAGCACTTGTTTTCTAAAGAATTGAACAATTGAATGATTCTTACATCTCCAAAGCACAATATCATATATCGAAAAAGATTCACGTGCATATATATATATATATATATATATATATATATTCCCTCTTGGCGTTATTATTGCGATGATTACCTTCTTCAGTCACCGAACATTTAATAGATTTCCCAAATTATTTCTGAATTAATTTTCAACTTAAACCAAAATCGTCATTGAAATTGTTTCCACCCAGATTGTATATTCATGCACTGCTGTGTTTCCCTTGAGTCAGGATCTGGATCCCTTGAATTTCAATTTTTTTGCCAGTTTTATTGAAGTTGTATCAAAGGGTTAAATTCGTTCAGTCTTGCCGGGTATTTAGTTGGTGAGAACCATAGTAACTTACTAGCGCGGCCCCCTAAATTGAACTGTGAATGATTAGATTTACTGAAAATGGACAAAATTTGAAATTCAGAAGATCCAAATCTAGTGTTGTGTTGTGTTGTAGCATGTTGGGAGCTATACACCCCAAAAAAGAAGTACAAATAAATAAGGATTGGTGCCAAAAAGAAAAGAGGAATGCTAGTTATATGTGTAACACGTGCAAGTTGAGCTAGGCAGAAGAAAAAGGGGCTCCGGTAGCTTGTCTCGCCTTGGAGGTACCAGATTTTTGGTTCAAAACTTCAAGTTGAGGACCTTTTTAAATAGTTTAGTTTTGGAGGTGTTTATTTGTTGGGGAATAGAAATTAAATTGCTTTGGATCATTTGGTCAAACATTTCTCTTGCTTCATAGAGCAATAGATTAGGTCTCTTTCCTGTCACAAATTGAAAATAGGTTACCCCAAACTATGCTGAGAAGTTTTAAAAGTTACAGAATTATGTTTCCCTCTTAAAGCAATTGTTCCTGTATAAAAGACATACTGTGGTCTTCAACTTTTTCTAAAAGCTGATATTCAACTGTGATTCATTTTGAATTTTAGCAAGCTGTCCAGGTGCCTACCTTTTTTCTTAAAAAGGAAGCCAAGCAAAACAAGTGCAAAGAACAGAAGCAGCAAGGCGAAATCCTATCCGTATTATGTGAATAAAGTGAGCAATTAAGCCAGAGGATACAATACTAATCAAACGCATGGCCTACCTTGTCTCTTTTTCATCTGTCAATACACACAATTATCCATGGATGAAATCTATGAACCCATTACCTTATTTCTTCTACTGCTGGGCCAGCCAGATGCTGTTTTGTTTCTGATTGGAAGTTTAGGGGAAGTTTTTTATTTTGATATTCCTGAAATTTTGTTTCCTACTTTTCCTGCAGGGGTCTAGCCAGTACCAGTCTGATGTTTTCAAGGTGTGTGCCCAGCTTAATGAGGTAAGCTCCATGAGCGTGATTGTCTCTCCAGGCTCTCCTCCCTCCTTTTCCTGTTTCCTCTGTACTTTGATGCTGCATTTGTGCGTATCTAAGATACACTCTTCTTATCTAAGGTTTCTATTGAGAAATCATCAAATTCTGTACTAGTTCCCAAGGCAAAGTCAGAGGAATCATCATTCGAAAGCCAAACCAACATTCCAGATGCATCATCCATTTCAGCATTTATGACTCAAGTTGCGGACCTTGTTGAGTGCGTAAAAACCTGTCATCTGTGTAGACAATTTGTGTTGGTGTCTGATATTGCAAAATAAATAGGAGAGAATGAATTAATTTCCTCTTTGTTTAATCTCTGCGGGCAGGCTTGTGGATTCAAGAGATATCATGGAACTACAGTTAAAGCAACTTGATTGTGAACTCCTTATAAGGAAAAAAGAAGCTTTGCCACAGCCTCCAGTTGCAGCTCCACAACCCCATTCTCCCCAAGCTATGGTTCCATCTCAACTGCCTCATGCACAGGTCGCTGCCCCAGCTTCTTCAGGTCCAGTTCCTTCACCTCCTGTTTCAGCACCAGCACCAGTTACGCCTGCAAAGCCAAAGTCATCACATCCTCCATTTAAATGCCCCATGGCGGGAACATTTTATAGCTCTCCTGCCCCAGGAGCACCAGCTTTTGTAAAGGTAAAATGCCCGCGTTTCTTTTATTTGTGTGCCCAATAGTGTTTGAAACAGAAACTTATTTGAAGTCTTCAAAAAGCTTTGAATTTCACTTTCATCCATTATTTGTCTTAAAATATTTGCATCTTGCAATTTTGACTGATTACATGTATTCGAATATTGTGAATAGCACATCTGATTTTTGATTATCAATTCTTCCCTACCTTTTCACCAACCGTGGGGCCCAAATACTCCCCCCCCCCCTTCTTTTTTATACATCTGTTTTACTCCCACTTTTTTGTTGTTTTTTCCTTATTAATTTACATTAACATTCCCACTGGGTTCCCACTTCTAATTTCAATTCTAGTTGCTCAACCAGAAAGCACTTTACCAGCAAGACAAGTCAATTGAGTGTTCAGCACAATTTCCATTTCATTGCTTATTAATGTGGTTCTACAGGTAGGAGACAAGGTCCAGAAAGGGCAGGTTGTTTGCATCATCGAGGCCATGAAACTGATGAATGAGATTGAAGTGAGTCTCTTGTTCTATTTGTCATCTATATGGTTCTAAGATTCAGTTCCACAACCTTGTTGATAAGTATTCAGTATGGTTATTCAGACAGTAAAAACAAAAAGAAAAAAAACATGGAAATTCTACATATTTAGGTCGGACTGTGTATATCCTCTCTGGTATTAAATTGTCTTTCCTTCCTATCTGTATTCTCGGCAATCTATTGTAATAAGGATGCTTCATGATGGAGAAGCGGAGATGATAGCAAGCTTCGTTTTGGTTAGGTTGAAACATTTTATTAGTCATGTAGATACCACATCCATTGTTATACGATGAGGTACTGTGTGAAATGCAACAAAAGTAGAGAATTGATTTTGTGTAGTCATGAAAGCTTGATCTTAAATCCTGAGATTGGTTGAATTCTTTGTATTGTGGCAAAATTATAGTTCCCCATGCTTGCACCACCTTATTTATGGTTTGTAAGCTGTCAACCGCCAGATATTCAATTTGTTCCACCTTTGTGAATGTTGTCAGGCTGACCAATCTGGAACGTTGGTTGAGATACTTGCGGAGGATGGGAAACCAGTTAGTGTGGACATGGTAACTCTTTCTCTCTGTCTCTCAAAGTTTTTGGTTTAATGCTGGTTGTATTCGGCAAGCCTAACGTTGCATATCTTCATGCAGCCGCTATTCATTATTGAGCCATGACGAACAAAGTCATGTCCTCTGCTGTGGAACTTGATATCTGAAAGCATATTGCGAGTTTGAGCCAGTTGATTTCTGTTTTTAAATTTATATAATGTGTTTTTTTCCCTCAACTCCTTGTCTCATAAATTTTGGAATAATAGGATTTTTGATATTAAATGTGGTTGCTTCTCTACCTCCAGCTAGCATTCTATGTCTCATAAATTTTGGAATAACAGGATCTCTCTCTCTCTCTCTCTCTCTCTCTCTCTCCGCGATCTGCCATAATCGAGATTGCTAAGTGGACTATGTCCATGTCGGAATTCTAGCATTATATGCACAAATTTACTGACATCAGATAAAGAGCAATGTGATACATCATCTTAATGATAATGTGAGGTGTAGAGTAGAAAATAAATCTTGCGGTTTAACCAAAAAAATAAAAATAAAAATATATATATATATATATATATATATATATATATCGAACTGTATTTGGTGTAAAGAATCTTCAAATTGTTGAATTTCAATTTCAAATTATTTTTCACCCTGTGAAATGACATTTAAAGACAGTCTTTTTAATTTATCTTTGAGTGCATTTATGAACTCATCTTTCACTTTATTATGACGATTAAAGGTGGAAGTATTAACTGGTGATTTGATATTGACTTATTCAAATTCATTATTCTTAAGGATTGTGATAACGAGACTTGTTGTGAGTTTATCAAGTTCTCAATTTTAGTCAAATGTTGGCCTATAGCTTGTAAGCAAACATTGGTATAGTTATTTTGTTTTATGGAAATAGTATTGCCTGTATAACAAGCATTTATATAAATCTCTTCACAGTTATTTAAATGTAACTTTATCAGTTCAGTTGTTGAGTAGTTTTACCATCCAAAGTTTACCATTTATGTTGAAACATTTTTATAACATTTAAATGTTCAATAGTAGAAGGGACATAATAAGTTAAAAACCAATTAACAAAAAGAATTATCCTTCTTTCCCTTTTTATATAAAGGTAAAACATTTCTTTATAATTTTGGAGTTTTTCAGAACTCATAGTTTTAAAAAATCAATTTCTGAATTCTTCATATGGAGGAAGATAAAATTTTTTATTACAAGTGTCCTTTATCATCTGAAATTCTCTTTGATGGAAATTCACAAAAATTATAGTTGAAATCTGATTTTGGATGGAGTTAGATCATAATCTTCTTCCTATAGGGAGGAAGATTCATTAGATGGTATATATATACCATGTTGAATATTATTTCTTGAAATTTTTATTCCTTTAATTATGAATCATTTATCTCTTCTTCGATTTTGTATCGAGAAAGTAAATTTTCTTAAGGGTGTAAAATAGCCTGATGAACTTTCTGATTTATCAGAAGATTGTAAATAATTCCTAGAATTTATTCTAACAAATTTTATGATAAACATCACCCTGAGATGATTGGACGATTTGAGTTATTTCTTCATTTATTTTTTATTTTTTAGGGACCACAGATTCTAATTGCCAGGTTTCTGGAAACTGAATTTCTGACCATTTAATGATTTTAGGGACTTCAATTTTATTTTTAACCGTGTTGATTTCAATTAAAGTGGTTTGACTTTTAAGGTTCAAAAACTTAGCTTTAGGGCATAAATTATTCATTACTTTATAATAGACCTTATAAGTAAACACAATTATATATGTGCTTTCTTTATAATTGTAACCAAAAGTTTTAATATTGCATGTTAAAATATCCAAAATATTTTTATCTGTCAAAGATATAAAAAAATTAGGAAAACAGTTAAAATAAATTGAACCAGTACTTAAGCTGGACTGCATAACTCCTATTAAAGACTGATCAAAATTAAGACATCTAGCATCTCGTAATGCTAACATAAAAAAAACATTTAATCCTTGAAAAGTTAAAAGTTTTAAAGCAACCTGAACTAATCTAATATGCAAAAATTTATAATTGTTATCTTGAGTCTTTAAGACTTCTCGTTCAGTTAATAGCTGTAAAATATCTTCATTCTGATTAAAAGGAACAGTCATTTCAATCATTTTAATAATTAAATTTGATTTAAAATCAAAAGAGTCAATATTGTAAATTTTCTTAGTGGGGAACTGGGGTATATCCCAGTGCTGCAATTTATTTTAAATATCAAAGAATTCTATCTCTTCCATATTTTTAACATAGTCATCTTTATGATTAAATTTAAATTTAAATAGGTTTAAAGTCATAGTGATATCTCAAAGTTGTTTTGTTGACCTATATGTTTCACTATTATTTTTTTCTGGTTACTACTGTAATTCGTCTTTTAATTATGCTACAGTGCTGCTACGGTGACTTTTGCTACAATAATCCTGTTATAATAATTTTCACAACAATTTATTGTTGGCAAAATCCTGCTACAATGATATTTTTCACTATCAAAATTCTTGCTACAATGATATTTCCCACTATACTATTTTCTGCAATCGATCCTGTCGACGCTCGAAGGGAATAAAAACAGCTTAACACTCTTATTCATGGAAAAAATGGCCTAAACCATCCCTAATACGCGATCATGAAAGCAAAATAATAGAGAGCAAACAAAGAAGCATCATCATAACAATATTTTGAGAGCAAACAAAAAAACATCATTATAACAAAATTTTGACAAACAATAAAAGCTCAGAGAAACATTATTATAACATAATTATTTTCACAATTTCATAGCAACAATAGTCTAATAGAATTAAATCACAATTACATAAGCAACAAGAATTAATAATAGATCTGCATATAAATCAACAGAATAAACTTAAGCTACCATTCACTTGGCTTTGATACCAGAATGGGTGTAAACCCCACACTTATATATATATATATATATATATCAAACAATTATTTCTTTTGAAATATTAATATGGTAAAAACTTGAGTAAATAGTAGTTAAAACTTAGTTTTAACTTGTAAATATAGGAAATCATTTGCAATAGAACTTATAGCAACTATGTTTGATGTACAAATGTATGTTATGGAAGTTTGAGTTGGTTTTGAAAGGGTTAGAAATGGATTGAAAATGAAAAACGGGTGAAAAAAAAAAAATTGGACAAGCATACCGGTATATGTATCGGTATGTCGAACTCCAGTAGCTTATATGTACCGGTACTCCCATTAAAAAAATTTGATTTCTTCATATTGCGAACATTCGGCCCTCCCTTCGCTTTAAATACTTAAGGAAGTCTCCTTTAGCCCCATTACAATACCTCTAACCCTAGAAAACCTTAAAGAGGAAGAAAGGAAGAGAAAAACAAAAGATAAAAAGGGATTTACATTTTAAAGAAGATCAAAACTTCAAATTTTTTTTTTAAGAACACATTTCTCCACCCATTTTCTTCTATTCTTTCACCTCATTCTCACTCAAACCTCTTAGCACCCTAGGAGAAGATAAGAAGGGAACAAGAAAAAGGAGGAAGAGCGTCGCTAGAGCTTGAGTTAGTTTGGAAATTCGAATTCAGGTTGGAGTTTCTTCCTATTCTCTTACATTGAGGCTAGGGCTTATATATATATATATATATATATATATATATATATATATATATATATATATATATATATATATATATGTACTTCTTGACTCTAAATCATATATGTATGATATAAAATCTTTGATTCTTGCTATTCTTGCAATTATTACCATGTTTTAAACAATATTATGGTTGGGTAACCATTAAAGTTTTTTTTTTCTCATCTTCAAACTCTAGTTTTCAAGAGAAATGAGTTTTTCTCTTGATTTCAGAACTTTAGTGCTTTATATTGAACCACAAAATGGTATTTGTGATGATCTCTTGCATATTTTCTTAAATTGTTGTATTGGGATACTACTTGTAAAAATTTGGAGATTATGAATTATGATTTGTTATTGAGAAATGGTTGAGTATTGTATCTCTTGAGGATGTTTGGATGACAATGGGTGGGTAGATGCGTTTCTTACTTCGGGTATCGTAGAGTGGGTAGATGCGTTTCTTACTCCGTGCGAGTTAAAATTTTTTCTATCACTCGTAGTGGGGTTGGTGTCTTGCGAGGACCAAATCACTATTCGCTCACGGGTACCGAGACTGAGGGTTAATATACTATTCTTGGGTTGGATTCATCACTGTCATGAGTTAGTATACGCCATTCCTAAAGGTTGGATATCCTTGCGAGGATTTGAGTGTGTGTGTGTGAACCAGAATATTCTCGATGTGTTTATTCATGGGATGTCTTACATTAGACTTGAGATATAGATACATGTGTGGTTGATTATATATGGTGGGCTGTGTCCTTGTACAAATGTTGAAAATGGTTTATTGTTGAAATGACTCATTGTGGGAGCGGTTTAAAATTGGAATGGTTTATTGTTGGGAAATTCATTTTACTGTTCATTTAATTATTGCTATTGTGTAAACTTGAGATCAATTGAAATGCTCCCGTTTTCTTTCAAAATTGATTGATATTTGCGAAATGAGACCGACTTGTTTTATATGTTTTTTAAACCTTGTTCGAGTTAGGAGGATTTTCCTACAGAGCTAAGTGCTCACTCCCTACCAACAATATTCTTTTCAAATTTTGGGTTAGAGGAAGAACATGATATTGACGAGCAGGTGGACCCGGAGGGGGATGTCTAGACTTGTTTTGTTATGTTCTAGACTAGGAGATTTCTTTTGAGAGAATGAAGAAATCTAAGTTTTTTTTATTCTGCTGCAAAGTTACGTTTAATTCTTTTGGATGTGATTGTCATAGTTTGACATATTCTTTTGATATTATGGCCATGGTTTGACATAGTCTTTTAGGATGATATTGTAAATGTTATATATGATGAATGAAATTTTCTTTAATGATGGATTTTATTAGTTGCTCTTGTGATATGAATAATCTTTAGATTGTAATGCCGTCCAATGTGGATTTTAGGACATTACAAATTTTGGTATCATAGCTTAGGAATTAGGTTTTACATAGGAGCTGTAGGTTATGGATTACCATTAGAGAGATTGGACTAGATTGAATGAA